TCTTCCCGGGTGACTTTGAATGCCTGGCCACCCTGCCTTGTCCTTAAACTCACTGCAGGACAAAGGTGCATGTCACAGGCTGGGCCCAGGCACTCTCCAGGGCAGCTTCCCTGAAATCTGTCTGAAGGGTGCATTAGGGCAGCTGGCTCTAGTTAACTGTTTGCTTTTTCTTGGGAGAAAGAATCCGGTCCTCTAAGTAGAAGGAGTCAAATCACTAACTCCCTTTCTCCTTTTTGCCAAAACAAACAGCTTCCCATTACAGCTCCTGGTCTCTGATCAGCTCCCTGGGAGAGCCTACCCTGATACTGCACGAGGTGAATGACGTCCCGTTAGGCAAGAATCTCTTAACCCCAGAACCGTAGGGACCACGCTGCCTGCTACCCGCTATGTATCTTCCAGAAGGTTTCTAGCCACTTCCTCTCTGAGCCTTCTCCAGTTCTGGGGTGCGTGTGCACACACACACACACACAAATGCACACACTCACACTCATATTTCGCACGTTTACTATCTTTTTTCAAATTCTATTCTCCTGAGCCCGTTTTGAGAAAACACAGAGAAAGACCAGGTTGCAGGCCTGCTCATAACTTACTGGACTGGCTACTTTTGAACCTTTGAAGGTCAGGTCCACTGTGGGCACCAGGAGCAGAGCCAGGGGAGGCCGGGGGTGGGGGGGGTCCCTACCAGGTACGTCCTTATCCAGCGAAAGACATGAGGTCCACTCTCAGGTTAAACAGGAACCTACCAACAAGACAGGGCTCTTTCTCCCCACTTTCCTTCTTCCTGTGAATCTTCTAGCAAAGTTAAGGAAATTACAGTAGAGAGAGGGCCTCCCGAGGAGAGGAGCCCAGGTCAAGGTCGTACCTGTTGCCCTGCAGATGAGGCTGAGCTGAGCCACCATGCTGAGCACACCTAAAACCTCCCAAGGTCTCTGAACCCTGGACACGCGAGAAACAGGACCAGCTTCCAGGGGTGACCAGCGCCTTAGCTCCTGGCTCAGAAGGCAGCTCACATTTAAGGTTCCCTGCTCGGATGTTGTCCTATGGAAATTCTTAATAATTTTTTTTTCTTTGAATGCATGTGTTGCTTGTGAGTTTGTGATGTACGCACTGGTGGCTTGAAGCCTCCCATCACCTGTCACATTCTCCTGTCCCCTCATCTGTCCAGGGCAAGTCCTCCCTGTGATTTCCAACATCCCCTGGCATCCCCGGGCCCCGCCAGTCTCCTTTCTCCTGTGACCGCTCTAGCTGTGCCTGCTGCAGGGACCGGGTATGGTGCAGGCGCAGGGAGGGCCAGGGCTGGGTGCGCATGCTGCATACTGTCCCACGGTACGGTACGCTCTCTCCCCATTTCAGGTTGGTAGCAAAACTCAGCAGGGACAAGGTGCTTTCCCACCCAACCCTGACCCAGGCAGCTCGCAAATCCAATTGGTAGCTTGGGTAACACACTTGGGGTGGCCCATCTGCTGTGGGCAAGGGCATTTGGTCATAGGAAGGGGAGGTGGCCATTTCCTGCCAGACCAGAGGACAATGCATGGACACAGCAGCATCTGTGCATACAAGTGTGTGCCCGAGTCCCCGCGCAACCCTCCTACATACCCAGAAGACTTTGCAGGGGGCTCTGCAACCTCCTTCCAACCTTTCCGACTTGCTTGTCCTTCTGCCCATCGCAAGGCTCCCCCCGGGGATGAGTCTGCACATGCAAATTCTGCACCTCTGGGGATTCGGCACACAGGTGACAGGCTCTGACATTTGCCTGTCAAACCACCACCGCACGATATAAAGATGCACAGGGCACTTCCCACCCATCATTTAACTTGTAAATGTCTCTTGGCTGCGAGCAACACTCGGCAGTGCATTCAAGATGGGATGTCAAGAGAGAAAGAAGGCCCCAGAAGAAAGGAAAAGATGCTATGCTCTAGTTCTGTAATGCACCCCCGCCTTTCTCTCTGAATAAAGACACACCATGTTTCCATTCTGCATCACCCAGAGTGCAAGCATTGTATGCTTCTTTCTCCGTGTGTCGGGCATTGTCTCTAGCATGTTCTGTCTTCTGATCTAGGCTTTCAGGATAAGGCATCATCTACTAACCGGCATGAGGGTTTTGATGTTGAGAAACGGCCCGTTCTGCCTGTGAGACCCACCTCCAACGTGGCTGATTGGGGGTGCCCACCTCCCTGGGTCACACCCATAGCCTCGCAGCTCCTCCTCATTCCCTGAAAGGATGTCCTTTCCAATAACCATCTGCTAACCCCGGCTATTTCTCTTCAGGAACCAGGGGCACATTCTTCAGTAAGAGGGTGAGCTTGGGAAAGCACCTTCTTTTCAGTCTGAAATTCTGAGGTCCTGCAGGCAGGGACAGAGACCAGGTATTGTTCACTACCGTGGCCACTGCAGGCTTCCCCTTGGTGTCCCTCCTACTTCAGGCTTGGATGCCAGCCACCGTGTGGAGCCCAGTCAGCCCACAGCCTCAAAGTCCCAGCTGTAAACCTCCATCTAGGGCTTCCCCACCCTGACTGCTGCAGGGCTGGGCGGTGGAAGGGGGTGGAAAGAACTGGGTGGAGAGGCTTCTGGAAATCCCTGCCTCCTCTGCAGGCCTCTAATAGGTCACTGCCCCTGAGGGCTGCCAGCCACTGTCTATAAAAATTCTATAACCTGAGTACGCAGGTTGCGCTCATCCCAGTCCCAGCCTGGCAATGTTCACACTGGGGACTCCCCACACCTGGCTGTCATCCAGGTTCAAAGCAAGTCTTTTTCCACCTTTTTAAAAAAAGGAAGCTTTGAACCATCCCGGAAATCATGGGAGCAAGTACTTGCTCATGAAAGGGCTTTCTGCACGGGCTCACTTCTGGGAGGTGGCGAGTCACAGGAATGGGACCTTCCTAAGACTTCGAGGGGCTCACCCTTTTCATCCATTAATAAATACCATATGCAGGGTCGTGCATGGACCCAGGATGACCTGTCCACTGTCCTTCCTGGGGGTTTTGTTTTTAAAGGTAGGGGTGGGGGAGGAGGGCCGGGAAGCTGGGCCACCTTTCCAAATCTTGGGAAGACTCACTGCCTGCAATTTAAACAAATCCGCTAGGTATTCCTAGGGTAGGGTTAAAACCTCCACAAATGGCTTTGCAATTAATTACAAAATCCCCAGCAGTTATTAAGTCCTAACTGAGTAATTTGCGGCTTATTTTGCCCCAGCTAATTAAAATGTAATTGGGATTGTCTGGCAACGGGTACTCTGTCAGCAGTTTTTCTTGGGAAGAGAAATCAAGCCAAGAGACCACAAGAAAACCCTTTCACGGGGCTTGGCTTGATCTAAACCGCTTCTGTAGCCGCTGCAACTGTAAAACAAATAAATTACTGCGACTGACAATTCAGTAAAAAGAAGGGGGGGGGCGAGAAACAGATACTCTTCTTCCCTGGGAATGGGCTGCTCCTTTTTGTACCATGTCGCCTTCTTGTTGAAACAATAGCGTGGCATCTTCTCAGGAGAGTGACTTTCAGGGTTGGCCCCGGTGGTTTGGAACCAGGTGCCTGGGGAGCAGGTGCGGCCCAGGAGATCCCTGTAATTTCACCGGCCTCGGGGTGCGCTGGGTGCTAGGGTTTCTCCCCCCACACACCCACCCCCGGGGACCCAGGAGGAGCGTCTCCAACTCTCTGGACATTGCTTCTCTGACTTAGAACAAACAGAAGTGCACACTCCACGAACTGCACGGGTGGATTGGACCACTGCAGATGCCAACTTTGAGCTCTCCGTGACCCCCTCTTGAGCAAACTGTCGGGAAGGTCATCCCAGGTCTATGGAAGATCTCCCCCACACCCCACCATCGGCTGCACCAAACCCCCTCTCTTTGGAGTCACCCCTCCTGCAGGGTTAGAGGGGCGCACACTGGAAGAGCAGAGCGCTCGCCTTCCAATCCCTGCCCCCAGATGGGAAACCGCGTCTGTGTCTGCCCTCCGCCTTTTCCCCCTGGGGCTACAAGTTGGGAGCCTGGAACAGGTGGGCCCCTAAAGGTAGAGACTAGATGGAGAGGGAGAGACAAGGAACAAGGCGTGTGAGAGGATGATTCCAGAGCTCGCACGCCCGGCTGGGCAGGGAGAGGCGAGTCCCTGAGCGGCTCGCGCGCGCCCACCCGCACCGGGAATTCTGCGCAGGTCCTGCGGGGTCCTGGCACAGTGCAGGGTCCCCTCGATAGCCACCCGCGGCGCCGACAGTGCCCACACACACACACATACACACACACACACACACTCCTCCACCCTCCAGGTGGAAGAATCTCCATGCGCTGGTGGATACTCTGACCCCGGGGCATCCAAACGCGGCCCTGCTAAGTTCTCCATTCTCTGAAACTGTCTCCTCACGCTGGCTAGTCCCCAGCAAGACCTAGAATCTCTGGAGGTCCCAAAGGCGCAGCCACTGTACACCCAGTGCTCTCACCCCGGGGCACACAGCCTGGCCCGGATGCCCACACTGGGCGCAGGAAGGGTAGGCGGCTTGAGCTGTGCGCCCGCGGGGCTTTAACGCCAGGAGTTCAGCGCAGACCAAAGTGTCCGCCCGCGGGCACCTGCGGCAGCCGGGCGCGGCCCCGGGACTGGTTCTGGGCGGGCAGCTCCCAGGGCTCCAAAGCCACCCGGAGTTTGCTGGACTCGCCACCCCGCCGGAGTGGGCGCGCGCGAAAGTCCTGGGAAACCAGCAAATCCACACACCCACACTCGGAACCCACAAAACTGCTCGCTCACACACACACACACACACACACACACACACACCCCAAGGAAATGGCCCCTCGTTCCCCACTGGGGGAGGAAAGACGCTGCGGGTTTCCACTTGGGAGAGGCCGGTCCGAGCTCCCGGGTGCACGGACCCGCTCCGGGGACAGCCCGGCTCCGCCGCCCGAGCTGCGCGACAACTTTGGCGCCCACCCTGGGGGGCGCGCGCCCCGGTGCGTCCCCAGCCGCCGCGCGCACCGCGGGGAGGACCCGGGAGGGCGAGGGGTCCCCGGTACCTGGAAGTGCTGGACGAAGGCGGAGATGCGCGTGATCTGGAGGCTGAGGCAGCGGGAGGCGCAGCGGGCGCGCTGGACGCTCCCGGCGGACAGCGACTCGTCCAGCCGCCGCGCGGCCGCGGCCCCGGGGCTCGGCGCCAGGCAGCCCCCGCAGGCCGCCAGCCAGAGGCAGAGGGTCAGGGCTGCGCCGGGCGCCCCGGGCTCCATGGCTGCGGGTCGCGGGCGCTGGCCGAGGCTCCCAGCTCCGCGCCGGGGCCGCACTGGCGGGGACCTCGCGGCCGCCGCAAGTCGCCTGCAAAGTTCAATCATCCAACTCCAGCCCCCCGCCCTGCACGCGACCGCCCGGCCGTCTCCCGCGGGGGGCGGGGTGAGGGTGACAGGCCGCCGCGCCATTGGCTGCGAGCGCAGTGAGTGACAGGGAGGCCGCGCCCGGGGCCCGTGGGCAGGTCTGAGGGTCCCCCCTGAACCGGGCGCCCCCGGGAGGGCCACGCCGAGCGCTTCCCGGTGCTGCGGGGTCTCCGCGTGGTGGGTCCCCCTTGCAGGGACCTCCACAGTCCGCAGGAACACCTTCCTGACCCCTCCCACCCCACCAGCAGGGCAAACAGAGGCAGGTGTGAGCTGGCCAGGGCGTGCAGGGGAGGGGCTCTCTTTGGGAGCAGGGAAGAGCTCCTAGGTCCCCTGGGGGCCTCAGAAGTGCCCAGGAGGGATGACAGATGGCCCCTAAATTGCTTCTCCCCATTTATCTCCTACCCGGGGTGGAGGCTTCGCTCTTGTCCAGCAGAGGTCGATACCCCTGAGCCCAAATAGTGGAGGAGGTCAGAGGAGGCAGCCCACACGGGGTGCAGGGGATGTCTGTTACACCCCTGTGAGTGAGTTGTACAAGGCAGAATTCCTAAACTCCCTTCCTCATGCATTTGCCCAGAGCTTCCTAGGCTTTGAAGCTGCTGCCCCATCGTGGGTGATCTCTTCTGGGGCTCTTTGGCCTCAGGACTTCTCTCTCCCCGGCCAGGACCTGGCCCAAGCCTGCGGGCACAGGCATTGATCACCCACAACCTATAACAAAGCTCACACACACACACACACACACACTCCTGTTGGAATGTGGAGTAACTGATTGACATTCCTGGGCTCTGACATCCCCACATTCCCACACAGAAGGGCACTTGTGGAACCGGGCGTTACCAGCACCACACAGCTCAAACCAGGAGGTGCTAGTCTCGCTCAAAGATAGCATCAGAAAGCTTGATTCCCCTTTGCCTAGAGACTTTATAGGGGGTTACCCGCAATCCCCAGCACTCCCCTGTGCGCTACCCATTTCCACTCTACAGTTTTGACTTCTTCCAGTTAACAAATTATAATGACCACCACCTGCAACTATGATACCTATGATCTTTTTCAAAGAACATCATCTTACATGTGTATTTCTTCACACAGGAAGACCATCAGCCTTGGTGTGTGTGTGTAAGCAGTAAAAAGTCTACCCAAGTTATCTGGTTCTAAAGGATCTACAGGAAAAGGTGGCTTCATGGGTGTGCAACCTGTGCAACTGTGCCAAATCTCACTCCTAGAAGAATGTGCACTTGGTTGAACGTTTTGTTCTCACTGCTGTGAAACTATAATCTTTAACAAGTTTCTGTGAACTTTCATTTTATAAGCGGCCTCACAAATTATAGAAACTGTCCTTCCCTAGTGTTTGTGTTTAAAAGTGAAGCAAATACCTGGTCATGGTGACGGCAAGCCTATTCGGTGCACCCACATTTTCTTATGGTAATTCTGATTTATGATTTTGCATGTCAAATCATGAAATTTGTATCCCAGAAAGCGAGATCACAAGGACAACCCACTGAGCTTTTAAAAACAGCTTCTAGATGTTCAAAGGAATCACTGTCTAGTTTTAAAAGCAAGGTGTAGGTTACTTTCTGTGGGCTCCACACCAGATTCATTTCTATGAATAAATGCATTTCCTAATAAGCCACAAAGAGAACAACTAGTCCTTTGAACAGAAGGCGCGAGCTTCAACATATAGGGCCACCTTATGTTAGGATAATGCGTACGTTGAAATAATACTTGGTTCTGTTTCTCTTTCCCTTTAGAATTATCACACACATCTTCTGTGTGCTGCAGGCCTTTCTGAAATTATTTATTTTTATGGCAGTTTGAAATTCCTTTTCAAAGAAAAGCATCCTAGTAAAATGACACAGCAGTTAAAATCTAGTTGTTGTTTTTTTTTTAATGTCACCCATTTCTACCCATTGTATGCTACAGCTCATCTTGCAAGTTGGCACTGGAACTTCTTTATTTGTTTATTTATTTATTTTGGTACTAGGTATTGAATCAGAGATGCTTAGCCACTCAGCCACATCCAGCCCTTTTAATTTTTAATTTTGGACAGGGTGTCGCTGAGTTGCTGAGGGCCTCGCTAAGTTGCTGCTGAGGCTGGCTTTGAACTTGGGATCCCACTGCCTCAGCCTCCCGAGGTAGAGTGGAATCTCAACTTTTAAAACATCCCTCCGGGCGATGCTCTAGCCAACCAACCGTAGTGGGAGATAACTTTCCTGTGTTCATATGTGAACACACAACCAGTGAAACTCCATGTCACGTACAACGCAAGAGAATGGGATCCTGCTTAGAATAAGTCGCATTCCATGTGTGTATCATATGTCAAAATGCACTCTACCGTCATATACCTAAAAAGAACAAATTTTTAAAATACAATATAAAAGCACATATCTCATTAAAAATGAAGCTGAGTATTTAAACAGCATCTCTGGCAATATTGATTCAAGATTTGTCTGTTTGTGTTGTATGGATAGGACATAGCAATCTCTTTAGTAATAATCACGTTGACTAGTTGTTTAATATATATATATATATTTGGGGGGGGAGGGTACTGAGGGTTGAACTCCGGGGCACTCGACCACTGAGCCCCATCCCCAGCCCTATTTTGTAGTTTATTTAGAGACAGAGTTTCACTGAGTTGCTTAGGGCCTCACTAAGTTGCTGAGGCTGCCTTTGAATTTGCAATCCTCCTGCCTCAGCCTCCCAAGCCTCTGGGATGAGAGGCGTGCACCACCATGCCCAGTCAGAACCCATTTTTAACTGGAGAAAAACAGAGACTTGAATTGGACAGCATTTAGGAGTTGCAAGCAGATTGTCCTAAGGGATCAGTGACAGGAGTAGGGGGAACGCAGAAGTGAGGTTTATTTCCCCCTCTCGTTGTCTCTACCGATGATGCATTATCATGGGGCTTCTCTGGGCAACTGCAGTTCAAGTCAGCAAATGCAAAATTGGAAAGTGCAAGAATGATGCCCCTCAAGTTTGCTGGCCCATACCCGCCTCTGTGTTCCTGGGCTAAGTGCTCGGAATTTGGTAGTACAGCCTGGGTCTTCGCTCCTCCTTCAGACGCAGCCCCCTTACTTAGACTCAGCTTTAGATTGGGGGATTCAAGGACAGCTTGGATCTTGGGTGATCTAAGAAGTCCACGGGCTAAGATCTTAGGTCCAAGAGCTCGGGTGATCTAGAAGAGAGCTCCCAGGAAAGAAAAGAAACTGTGACGTGGGAAGTCCAGGGTACAGTGAAGAACTGCAGGGGAAATGTCAGATTTGCATCTTTTACCATATGATTTTCAGGAGACAGTGGGATATGCTTCTAGGGTACTGTACCCACCTGGTTCCCAAAGGACCGCTGAATCATTTGGCAAACAGTGATTAGCTTTTTACATAGGATCACTGAATATATACTCTAGTTTTCACCAAGGAACACGCACCCGCTGTCAATCATCTGCTTTCTTTTATCACCTTGCAAGGCTGGATGCCCTGTGTGGGGATAATCTTATCACAAAACATAGTTTCCCCTTTAACAAGATTATAAAAGTGTAATCACAGCCCAGTGAAAGGGTCTCATTTTTTTTATTAATTACCTGGATGTCTATAAAGATTTTTTACGAATGATCAGGAATGCGTGGTTCTTTTAATTACTTTTGCACTTTAGAGAATATTTTAAAGACATTTTAAACTTTTCTTGAAAATACATACCAAGGATTGTCAAATCCTATGGTTTCAAACTCCGGCTACTGTTCAAGATTTTCTCTCCTGACCTTATCCACCTGCTCATCCGGGGTCACTGTCAGTTGGTGTTAAATCTGTCTTGGAGCTTGTTCTGCAGTGAGACCAAAGCATATTCTAGGCAAACTTGGGACTCCCGATTGACACCTGGCTGCAGTTGTGACTAAAATAATTACTAAAACATGCAACATTATCGGAATGCACGGTCCCATGTTTCAGAGTTCCATGCGGGAGGGCTGCCTCCCCTCCCAGAGCCTCACCAGGGGAATTTGTCACTTTTAACACATGTGGTGGCATCTAGTGTTTTTAGTGCTTTGCTCAGCATAGGCTGGACTAAGGAAGGGGGGTTGTGTTTCCGAAATCAGGTAGCTTCAAAGGATATCAGATGCCTGTAAAATCAGTGAAGGAAGTCAACTAATTTCACTCAAATTCCAAATTTGACTCAAATTCCAATGATTGCAACTTGGAGAAGCAACCATAAGGCTGTCAGAGTTCCTATGTCTGACATTGTATATGAGCTATAGATAGAGAAGAAAAAGCATGCAAATCGTTACAAATGAAATACTATTTAATAGTCAAATGTGGGGAGCCGTTTAAAATATGAAAAATAACTTGCATATTTTTGGTTCTTGACAAGACCAAAATATTACTGGCGTACCCCCAAACAAACATTTGGAGAGGCATAAATGAATTTTAAGAAACTTACCGAAATTGAACAAAATCTTAAATGATATAACTAACTAAAAAAAATGCACTTCTCACTTCTGAGTAGCTTATTTTCAAGTGAAAAGCAAGATACAGTTTTCAGTGAAGTTCATGCCTCAAATTTTGTGAATTTCTTAGCTTTGTCCTCTAACAGAACTCCAACGAGCATGTCTTTATTCTGCGTTTCATTCTTAAATATGGAAGGAAAGCGACAGGTGCTCTTGAGAATGATTGAAACCGTGTTCTGTTCAAAGTCTTAAGTGGGTTTTTCTGCTCTGATGTTTTCAAGCCCCTTGAAATTTACATTGAGCTGTATAAATACCAAGAGATTTGGAGAGAAGGTTTGCAAGGTCAAGAGCGGCTTTTAATAGGAGACAGCGCCACACGCTGGCCAGATAGGTGAAATGCGAAGGAAAGGAACCGGTCCACTCTTAGGCA